AGCTTTTTAATTTGATTAGATCCCACTTATTTATTTTTGTTGCTGCGGCGATTGCTTTGGGGTTCTTCTTCAAGAATTCCTTGCCTAGGCCGATGTCTAAAAGGGTCTTCCCAACATCTTCATTTAGAATTCTTAAGGTTTCATGCCTTAGGTTTAGTAATCTCCATTTTTTTATATTGATATATTTATTTCTTATAAGTTGGAAACAAGTATTAATAATAGCTAACACTGATTTCACTTTTGCTATGTTGTAGGCACTGCTCTAAGTGTCTTATTTACTGTATCTCATTTAATTCTATTAGCCCTATGAAATAAGTGCCATCACCATCTTCATTTTGCCACTGAGAAAACCAGGACACAGGTCAAACAGGTTGTGCAAGGTCATGTGGTTTTTGTGAGTGGCAAACCCAGGCTTCTAACTTAGGCCGTCTGACTTTAGAATTTACACTCTTAATGACATGTCACACTGCTTATCAGCTTTTTGAAACATGTTATAAATGTATTCAGCTGCTAAAATTAAATGTGACCTATATTTCCAACTGCTGCGTTAAGGACATGCAAGGCTGTCTGACTTGGCATAGACACGGCACCACCCTGCCTACTGGCCTTCCCTCCTTCCGGGAACACAGCAGCAAGGGAAGGGCTCTGATGAACTACTGTGCTCTTCCTTTTTAAAAGTAGAGCTTTAGTGATTCCATTCACAAAATTATAACACTTAGGTTGTCTCCAGATGTGTGATTGCTGTAGAATAGAGGTCCTCCACCAGCAAGCACTGAGCCCTTCTTGGGGGAGCCAGCACTGGGCTGGAGACTTCATGTTCCTAAATGAGCAGAGAGTCCTGTCGGTCCTCTAGTGAGTGGTGAGAGGGGCAGATACACACATACCACAGTGCCATGTGGTGCGGAATGCTGTGTAGCAGAGGAGGACATGGCCAACTAGACTTGGCAAGGGTGGTGGGAAGTTCACAGGGATGTTGACAACCCAGATGGGCTTTGAAGGATGAGTGGTATTTACCCAGAGTAAAGTGTGGAGGAAAGGCAAGGCCCAGAAGTGTGGGAGAGTACAGAATTTTCAGGAGCCAGGTAGTAGCTTAGTATTACTCTGAAGAAATGTGTAAACTATATGAGAAGTCAAAAATTAAGATCTACCAGATGGTTCACTTTTGAACATAAATATTATTTGAGGACTTCACTGGAACACAGAGAAGGTAAAGATGAGCTATATTAATTGGGGGAATGTGCCATGAAAGACTAGAAATTGTCTTATAGCAGTAGTTCTTAAGCTTTAGCATTATTGCCCTCCTGAAGAATTTAGTGACAAACTGTGGATGCTCTCTCTGGAAAAAAATCTACCTGCATCTGGAAATTGGCATGAAATGTCTAGAGGTTTGTTAATGTTCTTTTCCACCCCGACCTTTATCTTACTGAAGCCCAGGTTCCTTAGTTAAAAATACTGGCCTTAAAAATATCCTTAAGTAGAAAGAAGAGGAGCAAAAATCCAGTCAATACTTTTCTTAACTAATAGCTATGCTTAAAAAGTATTATTTTATTGGTCAACTGGAAATGACATTTATAATAATTTAAACCATTTTTAAAAGTTGATTCTTTATTAATAATTTTCAGATGACTCCTTTGATGGTGGTTTACACTCATCTTTTGATGATCTTTGTGGAAACTCAGGATGTGGAAATCAAGAAAGGAAATTAGGAGGATCCATTAATGA